GATCCCCCTCCCCCGATGGCGGAACAGGTGGATATGCCTCAGCTTAGAAAATTTGTGTGCATGGCTGGGGTCACCTCAAGGTTACATGCGCGTGATGGATCCATTTCTTAAAGATAACCCTAGAGCCAAGCGACGCAGCACCGCTCATTTTAAAGAGCATGCTCCAGATAGAATTCAGCCTCTCTTTTTTTAAACCCCCCCCCAAATTACACCTCTGCTCGGTTTTGGGAAGGCTTGGTTTAATGAGATCATTTAACTGTTCATCGTGGTAGAGGCTCTGCCCCAGCAGCTTAGCTTGACTTACCTCAGGATGTAGAAAACAAGAGTAAAACGCAGCTGTTCTGAATTCTTTCTTTTGCTTGTATGGTTAAACTTTACCTCATGATTATTTACTGGACTGATTTGTAATCATGTGCATTTACTTCCTGGTAGAGCGTGATCAATACATCAGCCCCCAGATTAGCTACTTGATTAGCTATATTATCTTTTATTGGTGGTGGTGTGTGTGTGGGTTTTTGTTTTTTTTTTTTTTTTGGGGGGGGGGGGGGTGACACGGGAAGAAACACCCTTCATGGGTTTTGATATTGCATATTTTGTCCGCTAGAGGGCGCTTTCTTCTGTTGGCCACAGGACAAAACACAAACAACCAGCTCATCCCAGCAGTCGGAGAAAAGGTAAAAGAGTTATCCACTTAAATAATTACATTTAGCAATTTTTTAGGGAAACCTGTTTGTGTTTCATGCGTCTAAGAGGAGAAAAAATGGCGAATGTTTCAAATTTTCAAATCACCAAAAATCAATATCAGTCTTAAAAATCCCATATCAGCAATTGTCTACTCCCTGCAGTTTCACTAATTCATTTCCCCCTTCACATTTACTTGGCAAAGAGTTGAAGAATATATTATGGATTAATCTGCACACTTAAGCCATTTACCATAACATCTCTTTCAATCATCACGTTTAACTACCTTTATAAAAGAAAAATAATTTCACATTCTTTAAATAGGAAATGTTTCTTTCGTGTCTTTTGGGACTTGTCTCTGTCTCACACATACATACATGTTTTATTCATTACTGCTTTTCATTTTTCATACTTAATTGTTACAATTATATTGCATAAGCAAAATGCCAAAAGAGTCACATGCTTATAAACATGTTTTATCCACCCACATTAGAAACTCCTTACCTGGTTTAAAAATGCTTCCTTGTCATCTCTTCAGGCAGGGTTGTAATGTTTCCAGCCCACCTGGAGGCAATGCAAACAGAAACTGAGTATAGCAGATTTAGCTCACCTGAAACCTTGGCTGATTGTGACCTACACCCGTTTTCACGCCTTGGCTCATGTGATTAGGTAGAGGATCATCAGGGGGTCCTTTGTCCCTCTGTGGGGGTACACTCCCACAGGGTTTAAATCTGTGACTCTCCACCATTTGACCTTAGAACTGAAGAAGCTTCTCGAATGAGAGGTGAAACGTCTTCAAGCTTTTCTTTCCAAGCTCCTTAGAGTACGATGACCTGGATGACTGAGAACCTTCACAGACGACTTCCAGTGATCGAGAGGCGAATGATTGCAAGATGACCTGAAAGAGGACAGTGGCCAACTTTAAATCAAATATGGTCATTTTTTATGACAAAATCATGAAAATAAACCTGTGAAAACTTTAAAGATCACATGAGCTTTATTCGAGAGTGGCAAGTAGAGTATGTACCCCTCCACACTGAAAGGAGCCAGTTGAGGTGCTTCAGGCATCTGATTAGGATGGCTCCTGGATGCCTTCTAGGTGAGATGTTTCAGGTATCCCCAGCTGGGAGGAGACTTGGACGAGACCCAGGACATGCTGGGTGGAACATGTTTCTCTGCTGCTTATACCAGTCTGCTTTGGTGTCCCCACAGACAAGCGGATGAGCTGGAGGAGGTGGCCTGGGAGAGGGAAGTCTAGGCATCTCCTCAGACTGCTGCTCTGCAGGCCGGACCCAGATAAATAGCTGAAAATGAATGAATGGATGGATGAGCGTCATATTCCAGTTTGCTTCATTTTTGAATATGTCAGCCCATGCCACCTCTTCATCTCACAAAACCCTGCAGTAGTACACGGGGTAGCCATGTTTCCCCCTCATGTCAAATAAGTCCCCAGCTACTTAGTAGCCTGCGGGACAATTCCTGTTGGACTGACACAGACAAATAATCTTTATGCAGTGTGACAAAGTATGTGTGACACTAATGGTCTGGTGCTGTATGACAAATCACGATTCACTGATCTCATTGATTTCCCCCTCTGCTAACCTCTCTTGTACCCTGTGGCTGTTTCTTGTTACCTAACAGGAAACACAGAGGCAGAGAGATTTAACTTACATCACATTATTGATAGCATGATCTTTTGTGACCAGTAACCATTATGGTTTTTGGTAAGGAATTTATTTGCGAAGTGAGCAGCTCTTGTACTGGTTGTTTTGTAAATCTACAAATTTATTAATAATTCAAAAACCTGTGGAGTTCCCCTATAGCCTGGGTCCAGGTAGGTGTGAAAGTAAATCAAGAAACCTGATCTAAGTATTGATTTAGTGACAGCAAATGGCCAATAGCTGAGCCCTTTTCATGCTTCCACACCAGCAGCACACCCTGGACTGGACAGAAACATGTTGTTTTCTCTCTCGTGGATGGACATGCATGAAATGTCTCAGGAAATATCTTACATTTGCTGAAGAAGCACTGACTTGGTTTTTGAAATTTAAGTGATCAGAATTTGGTGGTCAAAGGTCAAAATGACTTGAAAAACACACTTCTCTGTTCGATTTGGCCACACTTTAATTTGTGAACGCTGGTGGGAAAACATGAGCCTATTTTCATTCACACTTGCAGTCCTGCTGCACATGCAATAGAGCAGCATCACGGGTAGACACATGATGGTGCAAGTTATAAGTTTGTGAAATTAGCCCCTAACCATTAATGGAAAGTTAAACAGTGATAAATATTACATATTGCATTTATACAGTACGAATGTGAACGTTGTCTGAAATATAGAGATATTGGATATCTTTAGTTTTAAAAACTCGCCCAGCCAAAATTCAGTATCAGTCGGGCTCTACTTAAGCTATAATTGAGCCAGTGTGAGATCATGGCTGCAAACTTACAAACCAAATATAAATACAGTTCATGCGCTGCATATTTGATACAGATCTGGACGGACAAGTATGTGCCTGGTTACCAGATCATATAACTCTGAACAGGCTTTTTAAATGCTTTTGACTTCTTCAGGGTTGTCTCCAACACAACCATATTGTCTGTAAGCGTGTTTTTCAATTCGTTCATATTTATGCCTATCAGATGAGATCCCATCCAAGCTGTCAGCTCTTTTTCAACAATAGTCCCACAGCACACACGCAAGCCTCTCTTCTACACCCCCAGCACCGAGCGCTCACAATCTGGCTCCGTGTCTAGGATAAAAGTGATGACTGGTCACGGGTCATTTGGGTTGCGGTACAGAGGAAGGGTGATGGTGGCAGTTGTTTTGATATGTCTGAAATAGGTACTGTGACAAAAACAAATGACCCCTCCCCTCCACACCAGGCCCACCCAACCTACCCTCACTTTGGCCTGACAGCTAAATCCAAGCCTTTGTGTCCCACATTGTTGTAAGGATTTGTGGGCATTGGGGCACGGAGGGGCGGATAGATAGGGTGATGATAACCAAGCAAGTTTTTTCTGGTGAAGAGGGAAGTACAACTGACTAAAGCAAAGTACTGAGTTAGAGCTATTAAACAAGCTTTTTGCTCTTATAGCTGAGGAAAGAAGTGAAATTGGAGTCTCAAGATAAGCTTTTTCTAAAAGACTTTCTCTGGATTAGATGTCAAAAGCCCCAAATTAATAACCCCACCCATCACAACCACAAGTCTCTACAAAGAGGTTTGAACAGACCACCTGCTCCTTAGGAAAAGTTGGAAATGAGATGCTCAGGAAGTGGCAAAAATGGCAGCGTAAATATATTCAAAGCTCAGCATAAAACCAAGATTGTTCCAAGATAATGTGGGCGGGACCAATTTGTCTTAAAATGAGGGGGATATTCATTTTAGCAGAAGTAGTGCAAAAGGGATTAACAAAACGATAATCCACAAGCAGGTTTGATCGCCGGGTGCTGGGCTGATTAGATGCAAGCACACATTGTGAAAGTGAAACCCTGCTTTCATGGTATATGTTAGCGCACGCTGTAGTCCAAAACTTTTCAAACCGGTTTGTAATTTTTGATTTCTGTATTTTCTTTTGTTTATTTATTTTTTTTAAACTACTCGTTGTACCAGGATGGGGTATGGGTGAAGGTGTTACATCATTAACGTGCTGATGTTTGCCCCGACTAGTACAGCTGAAGTTGTGTGTGTCACTGCACTCAAACAAAACTTTCTTTGCCCTCATAAGTATAAAGCAATATTCTTAAGTAAAGTGCAACTGAAATATATTAAATCAGAAGGTTGATTTATCCAAATAATTATTCATTAAGGAAAATATGACTGGTATAATTGAATGTATACCAATCAAGTAAATGTCATTTGTCCAGATTCCAATAACTTTAATGTTTTACATTGTACTTGTGTTGAAAAATCACCTGAAAAATTTACATTTAGTCAAATTGCAGTCAGCACTTTCTGCATTTTTATGAGTGTAGATTATGAGCTATTTGGAAATAAACCACAATACTGAGCAAACTGAAATCTGTTCAAATTTATGAGACCGTAAAGCAAAACTCATTAAAGTTTATTCTGAGGGAATCGAAACACGTGCGATCCTCCCAGTATTGCTGAAACATTTCAATGAAACCTAAAGAAGTCAGCTTCTTTAAAGACCTTAAAATTTCCAAAGTCACTGGACATTGTGCTTTCAATTCAGTTTTATTTATATAGTACCCAATCAAAATAACAGTCACCTCAAAGCGCTTTGTATTGTAGGGTAAAAATAATAGAGAAAACCCCAGCAATCAAGTAAACCCTTAGGAGCAAGCACCTGGCAACAGTGGGAAGGAAAAACACCTTTTTCACAGGAAGAAACCTTCAGCAGAACCAGACTTAGGAAGTGGCAGCCATCTACTGTGACCGGTTTAGGCTGAGGAAGACAGGACAGAGGTATACTGGGGAAGAGAGCCAGACCACCCTGCTGCGTGCAACTTTTAATTATAAAACTGAAACTTTTTTAAATTAAAAACAAAACATGACCTGAACCACAGTGAAACGGCGGTTTTGTATTTTTGACCTGGTTAATCTTAACAATATTTTTATATAATTGTTCAGTACTTTGAATTTAACTAGTGTGTCCTCCAGAGTGTGTTATGGTCAAGATAGTCTGGAAAGTGACAGAGATGCTTCAAAAAGCTGAATTTCCTACGTGTGCCTTTTATGTCATTACCCTAAAGGTTCAGAGGAAACTTCAAAAAGCCCCGCACATTAACATTCGGGCTTGATTTAAAGCTACATTGTGCATTAAAGTAAGAAATACTATCATGAATGGATTCACCTGAAGCAAATCCAATCAATCTTTGCCTTTTGTGACCTTACTGTATTTAAAAATGGCGCGGCAATGCTAAAGCAGAACAAGCAAGAAAAAAAATCATATCGATTTGCTCTCTTCATCCCTCATGTCACATTTCTAAAAGCAGGAGGGACGGCACGTGCAGGGTGTCCTTGTGACCTTTGGTGGTGCAACATGCCTTTCAATATTTCATGACTTTTTTTTATCCATGGATGTTTGATGAGTAAATAACAACCTGACAGTGCAGCAAATATTCTTTGGCTGTTATCTGCTATTGAGAAGCGTGGTGTGAAGGGGCACAGCATTGATACAGGGTGCGTGCTGCATTATAAGGTTAATCCTTATGTCAACAGCCCCACAGATGGACTGACCCGCTGGGCGGCAGTGATGGGTGGGGGGGGATACGTCAGCGCTGTCTGTCTGGTTTCGACGAGCAGGAGGTGTGGGTGAACGAGACGGGGTAAAAACCAGACAAGTGAGGGGGAAAAAAAGTCAAAAAATGTTTCATGCGCCGATGTCATTAGGAAGGCGAAAGCAGAGCTGTAATCCTATTTTAATCGCAGTGGATTTATTAAACAGGAGCAGCAGGTTTAAATCTCAGCAGATTACACAGACGGCCCAAGGAGATGTGGAGAGGGGGGGTCGGAGAGGGTTGCGTAATCAAGTGCACTTAAGGTGATATGGTTCGTTTTTGACAAGTCAAGACTGACGGAGGGGGGTCGGAGGGTCTTTAAAATACAGAGAAGTCACATCCTTTCAGATTGTGAGGAATCGGTTGATGTTTTGCTGGATCAACACCTACATTTCTAATGTTTTGGAATAATTACTTTTGGCGAAGTTAAGACAGAGTGCCAGCTGCAGATGTTACTAATTATTTGGACAAGTGTGCGTGAGTCTTGGTGTCCCTTGGTGTTGGTGCAAATCTCCTTGGCATGCTTTGTAGAAGACCGAAGAATGGGTTAATCCCAGGTCACGTCACATCTGGACTTAATCAAGTCGGTCCCTTAACAGATCAGGAGGAACACGCTTCGACCTTCAGAGGTCACCAGCAGTAAGAGGTTTTAGAACAATAGCAGTGTGAGAGGCTATTCTTATTAATCACACAGAAATCTTAGAGCAAATTAGACAGTTTCCCAACCTTCACAAAATACACGGGTAAAGGAACTGAAGGTGATTTTCTCCCTTAACTTACCCTTTTCAAAAATGTCACTTTAAGCATCGTTGAATTGTATAGGTTGTCATTTTTATTGTAAAGAAAGGCAGAAAATATTTAAACTCATTCACCTTCAAAGACAGTACGAAATATTGCTAAACTTGGCACAAGGTCTAAGTTATGCACAAAACTAGACAGTTCAATGCCCTTAAAATGGACTCGTAAGATGCCAGCACACTCTTCAGAGTGTTGTCGCTGAACTTTGCCTTTGCCAAATGTTTCGTGTAAAAGATTGCCAAGCTCTCCATCTGTTGGCTGAGCGCGGCAAAGCAAGCTTGGCTTGCTTGTGACAAAGCCCAACTTTTTGATAGGGAGCCATTTTGAGTCCTTTCTCTCATCTTTAGAGGTGCAGCAGGTAAGGTGTGTTGTTCAAATACCTGGACTTTTGTTTTATCACCATCTTTGCTATACGGTGATGTGATGAAGAAAGTGCACTTAGTGGAAAATGTTGACTTTTTATGACATATTTGGACAAGCCAAACCTTTTTTCCTCTTTGAAAACAGTGACTTCCACTGAAGGTAATCTAACGTTATGGAAGTGCTGACTGGCAACAACATAAAAACTGTTTTTCAGTCAACAACAAAAACACAGTGCGCAGTGGAAAAAGTTAGCAAGTCTTTGACCTGAGAAACTAGTAATAATTAAATAGAAATAACTTCCTGTACGTATTCCCCAACATCTTTCCTCTGTAAAACGTTTACTTCCAGTCGATTTACCTCGAGGGCTCACAGACTTCAACAGGTGTTGAATGAATCGTTTCAAGCTACCCAGACTGTGAGTCATTGAAGGAATCCCCCAAAAATAACAATATCCACTACCATGCTCCAAAAGGTGGGAGCTTTGTGCTTGGACACGTATCTTCATTGTAGACCGGGGGTGTTAAACATAAGGCCTGGTTGACCAGAATCGGCCCAGCAAAGAATCCAATTTGGCCAATTGGGCAGCTTTGGAAAATGTGAAGAATTGCAAGGATTTTATATTTTGACTGTATGTTTAAAACTGTAAGCTTTAAAGATTTTGCTATTGATAAAAGATTCCCTCCCACTGCTAGTACACAAAAGTATTTAGGGGATAGATAAACTATTATATGACAGAAGAATTCCTATTTGTTTGTTTGTTTGTTTTACAGTGGATTCACAATAAACAATTAGAGAAAATTCTGTGAATTAATTAAAATTGTATATAATTTTATAATTACCGGACAGTCTGGGCATCGAACTACCAGACTTTTTACTGTAATACTAATATTTTTTTCACCTTTCTTAAACAAATAATAATAATAAAAATGATTCTAATTATTATTACGTGATGGTAAATCTAATTTTTTTCTTTGTCATCCCAGCCCAGCTGGGGTCTGCTCGAACACCTTCATGATCCTCGGTTGTAGTTTAAATGATGGAAAAATAAACATATTTTTTTTAATTTTTTTAAGTATTTTGTTTAACCTTACTGGACTTAATACACTCACCGTCTATATTACTCCCTTTTGCGATACTTTGTTCTCTCAGACGATGACTGAGCATGTCAAAGGACAGATTTTCTATTCCCCAAAACACAGTTTTTGCGTATGATCTATCATCTGTCTACTACCATCTACTGGATAATGCGTGTATTGCATTTCCTTTAAAGTTAAGTACCCTGATGGCTAAATAAAAGTTAGGACAGGTCCTACAGTCTCATGACTGTGCTGTATTAGGTTACTGTGACATCAGCAGTAATTCTGAATTTCCCGGAGGAACCCACCCGAGGGATAAATAAAGTTTCATGTAATCCCATCTAAATCCACTTCCACCTGTGCTTTGTTCGGACCACTCATAATATTTACTTTGAAAATGGGCTGTTGTTTTTTGCCTGTGGAGAGTAAACCAGTAGTAGACTCGAGCAGCCCCCCCAATTTATTGCTTCCAATTATATTAACATAGTAACACCTTAAAGTGTTGAGCAGAAACGTGAAAGGCTGCAAAACAGCACTAAAGTATAATATGATTAAAGACTGTGTCTAATTTTAATGCAGCGGATTTTACTTTTCTTAAAATCTCATCATGAACATGAGGAAACGTTCATTTCAAATTATAGACATGAAGCCGTTTAAAATACACAATAATTACATTATACTTGATGTGCAGTAACAACAAGCCACCAGCAGGGGGCGGAAAAGCGCACATGGACGCCGTTTAACCCCCATCATCCGCCGGACTCCTTCCTCTTCCGGTTACGGCGACAGCAGGTATGGCGGTCCCTGCTTTCCTCAGAAACATAATGAGTTTAAAATCGACTGTAATCCTACGTTTTAATAAACTAATGT